CTAACGTAGTAACAACACGTTGGATTAAAAATACATTAAGTGATTGTGTCGGGTGATCAGTGTTTGTGGTCGTGCTTGAGTAGATCAAAACGCGTGGGGGCCCGAATGCGATTCCGAACAGAGGGGCGTATACTGGAGAACCGAGTCCCGGAAGCATGAAGAGCATGACTTTGCGGGTCCACGGCCCAACGAGCCCCGCGGACATCGTATTCCGGAAGGCAGTTCTCACGAACGAGGCGCCGGACGTAGGGTATGGCATTATCGAAAATAGGCCCCATGTGCCGGTAAACATTCGTGACCTCGGAACAAACATGTCGACGGGTTACGAAGGCGTCTGGCACACGCTGCAACGATCCGTGGTACGCCTGAGAGAGAGAGCGTCAACCAATAAGGAGGGGTGATTATTGACCCAGAACGCGGGCGGTGGTCTCTGATGAACCTGATATTTCCTCTTCGGAGAAATTTCGGCGAAGTCCGGTGGGCCATTGTCTCGCGTCGCGTTCCTTGCAAACTCTAGGGAGGGGGGAGGGCGCGACCTACTCTACCACGTTTTCTATTCTAGTAGATTCACATACCCAGCTGTAATTTTAGACTAGCGTCATACTGGCGGTGGATTCATTTATGGTCCACTGCGGCTCCCAGGGGAGGTGATCGCCGAACCCGACCACGTCTCTCCTTGAGGTCGGCTAGAACGGCCTCCCCATGTATCTCTATCGGAGTCCCGGGACTCTCTCCCTGTCCTTGAGGGGGGTGGCAGATTTGTGTGTGGGGTATCAGAGGAGGGGGGGTTCCTGAAATATTCGGGACATAGGTAGGTAGTACAATAGGGGGTTGAAACAGGTGACACAGCTCTCTCTCGATGTTGGAACGTACGCAAGCACGATGATTCCACCCCTGGTACAGACTCGGTCTGTGGGTGAAGCAAAGAGTGAGCTGGTACTCACTTTGGAGACGAAGGATCGGTGGCCCCGACGACATATTCCATAGTCAATGATTTAGGTAGGAATGGGACGATCCTAGTGACTCTCCGCCCCCCAGCGAGTACTTCCTCGCCTCCATGTGGCCCGGGCCTAAAAAAGTTGGTCGGGTTGGAAAACTGGGGGAAATAATAGCCCCGGGTAACGCCCACCGCAGCCCCGGCTATTGTGGCGGGGGCTGTGTGATAGCTAACGGCGACAGAGCCACTGCTGCGGCCTTGGGGGGGAAATCGCACTTCCCCTCTCTCGGGAGAACTGTACAACTAACTAACTAACTAGTGGTCGTGCAGTGAAGCGAGCACGTATTCTGTGGAATAACCAGGACGCACTTGACGTTACAACCCTTAACTTCGGCTGGTGAGGTATACCTGCGATCACCTGCGAACTGGGCCATACCCTGCCATAAACCGTTTGGGCCGTCGATGACCAGGATCGGTACACTGACCTACTGACGCAGGTTTCTACGCTGCAGGTGAATTTCCGTAAGGGTGAGTTCTATTCAGTTTATTGGTCATTATTGTTTTATTAATTTCACCGAACTACAATCACTTCTCGTTTATTCTTTGTTACATTACCTTTTCGTTCACACGTTATTTGAAAAGGAAATTTACAAATTCGTAAAAAGGAATTTACAAAAATGTAAATGTGCATTCGTCTTTTTACGTTAAACATAATTTGCCTACATTTACGTTTCATTCATTAATCTCTTTAAATAACAAACGACAAATGATAAAAAGCACGATTTTATTTGTTACGTCTTGTTTATTTGCTATTATTATACGCGGTTTCCTGCGATGCATGGTAACCTACTTGTTCGGAGCATCGTAGTACAAGCGTAGCGCGTAGCCACCGCTAGCGCGGGAACTCTGCTGGCAAACTCGCGCTCTGATTGGTCGCGGTTTTTCGTTAATATCTCGGTAACGAAGCCTCAGTTTACATTGTTGCTAAGGAAAAAGTTGTTCCAATTCACCCCCTGAGTGCCCCATTTCCGGGTCGGAGGACATTTTTGAGACACCTTGTATATCGTCGGGCTTCTTGTGGATATGGAGGGGGGTCAGTCCCCTCGGCTGAAAGAGCAGGCCGGTAGGGGCAATTATCCATTTTGGCCCGCGGGCCACAAGTTGGACAGGCCTGTTATAGGGTATCAGATAACATCTCGCCCTGCCGAGGCCCGGCGTTGCTGCTTTTGATGATTTCATCCGGCTTTCGAGCCGGCTCGAGCTTTTCGTCTCCGACTCGGCTCGGCTCAAATGGCTCGATTACCCATCACTACTCACCTCCATACATGCAGCATACACTCCTCCCCTCTACCGCATACCCCGTATTCTTGATCACGGTCCCCCCTCCCTGTCGTACTTTCTTCATTCCCTCATCTTAGGCCTGGCGGACACGATCGGCACGCGTTATTTTACAGTCACGTCAATTTGACACCGCGTTTTGGCAGTACATTCATTTATATGAACAATTCACATATTTCACACGTGATACACAGATTTCGGTGCCAACTTTGCGTTCTGTTTGTGTTTTAACATATGAATACTAGAACTCAATTATAGGACGCAGCGTTTTAGCAATGCATATATTTATATGAAGCGATTCACACGTGACACAGGTTTCGACGACAACTTCGCGGCTAGTTCATTTTCTGAAATGAACACAGGTATTACAAATCGCAAATGTAACGCTAATATCTCAGCCGACAGTCAATTATTTTGCTCGAGCAATTTATATATCCGGAATGTGTAATTTATTGTATGAACAAGCAATATTGCCTCAACATCAAAACGAAAACGACTTTTAGAAGACATGATGATTAAAGTTATGACAACGCTAGAAACATTACAAAAACAGCATGGAGATTCATTATTTTTACAATCACTACTTCCAATTATGGAAACTTTTAATACAGATCAAAAAATTCAACTGAAAACAGAAATTTTAAATGTTATTCAAAAAATTAGAAAAAGTGTTTGTTTATCATTTACTTCTTCATTACTTCTTTTTATTTCTGTTTTATATATCTTGATACCTTTTTTATTAATTACTATTAGTTCCTTCATTTATTATAAGTTCATTAACCTTGTATTGTTTAAAAATTGTGGTAGCTATACTGTTTCTGTCCATACTTTAAAAGAGTAAATATTATACTTACCTCAATGTAACTGCAATAATTGCAATTGGTGGAATAACATCCTCATTGCTGTGTTTTGACATTCTACGTTTTGTTTAATTTTTATATATAGTTCCTCAAACAATTTTATACTCATTTTAAAGTAATTACAAAATTTGACCTCATCTTCCATTAAATCGGAAAACATAGTATCAAATGCTCCTTTAAGTAATCAAAAAGGTTACTAGAATTAGGTAGTTACTAATTCTTAAGATTATTTAATCGCTTGACTCAAACAGGACGCAACATTGCCGCCGAAACCTTGCGTCACATGTGAATTGCTTCATATAAATGAATGTACTGCCAAAATGCGGTATCAAATCGACGCGGTTGCAAAATGACGCGTGCCACTCGTGTGCGACGGGCCTTAATCTGGTCCATTGTCCCTTATCTCTGACTTTGATATCCTTATTTCAATATCTCTCCATACCTAGTTCCCTGTTTCTATCCTTATATCTATCATTATTCATAATATTGTTTTATTTTTATTGTATTTTTTATATTATATTATATATACATATGTATATATTATAACTATACATATATTCTTCTACCCCTGCGAGCAAACTCGGCTTCCGCTAGGGGAAAAAGTGATGTAAGGGAAAGACCTTCTACCTAGCCTCGGAGTTACTGAAATTCATGCGAAATTAACATTCGGTTTAACATTTATTTCAGTATTTGAAATAAATTTTTAAGCGGTAAGAGGCCCTAACCCCTGTAATACTTTTTCCCCTACAGGAAGCCGACCTTGTTCGTCGGTATACACTAAATAAATTATGTAAATATACCATACAATTATATATTATATGTCATATTTACATTATGCACAATATAATATTTGAATATGTTCGTAGGTGTGATATGTATTTACACGTTGTTGAATCAAAAACTCAGACCATTGCTCCTATTCCACAAGTACTTAAAGTCATTGATGCAAAATATGACTTCTTGAAAGATTACTACGCAGGTTTTGCTATTGAGAATGTTGTAGTATGTATTTTACATTATATAAAATATATGTTAAGAGATATAATGATATTTATCACTAACACTGATATTTCTTCAGCCTGCTTATGCTGGAGTACAAGAAGAACCTTTTGATCCTGCATTAGCAGCTTTGATAGCTTTATTAGTAGTTCTACTAGTTGGCGCAGTTACAGTAACAGTCGTTTGTTGTTGTTTGCGTCATTGGTAAATAATCAAAGAAATTTAATATCAGAAGAAAAGTTATGTTTATTATTTTAAAATATACAATATAAACGGCTACATGATTTCAGGGTGATTACTGTGCCAAGTGATATAAGAAAAAAAGATGGATTAATAAAGAAGCAAATTATTGATGAATTAAATACCACGGAAAATCCTTTATGGATTGAACAGTAAGTTAATACGCAATCATTCAAGAAAGCATAATACAACTAGATACAATATTTATCACTATTTTAATGGCTCCAGAAAACTTAAACTCTACGAGGAACAGGAGCTAACAATGCAAGTATTCAGTGAACCTGAGGGCGGTCTAGGTACAGAGAGACGTGGAAGTGGTGTCAGCGTTGGTATGGGTGATACATCTCAGGATAATACTTACGCGACTATACAACGTCCACTGCCTACAAGCAGGCACCGTCCAACAACACCCGATTATACAACGCTTCCAGGAAACCACAGTGTATGTAAAAAGACGTATTGAAATACCTTTCTATAATACATATAATTTAAATCGGACAAATAAGTTTACCTAAAATGTTTTTTCCGAAACTATTAAAATAATTTAAGACAGATATTTCCATACATAATGTGTTTTTATTAAAATTTTGTTATGGACAATGGCAGGATAATTTAGACTCTTATTTCTCAATTGTTACGGGCACCTTCCATGTTTCATGTAGAGAGTGTGAAGGGATTACATGTTGCGGCTATCATAGCCGGATTCTACACCTTCGTCTTGGTGGAGATTTCGGTTTTGAATTTCAATGTCAAATTTATTTTTCATGGTATTATATTCTACTCATCGTGGGAAGAAAAAGTCTCAAAAGAACCTTCAGTCAAAACTCAACCGTTGTCTTGAAAAATGATGTTACAAAACGATTAGCATTCAGACTAACTTTATTCACAATGCACTTACATTTTACGTTTCGTCTTTTTAAATGGGATAACGTATTTTCATTGCTAATGAAAATAAAAATTCAACCATGTATAGTATGTTAACTTTCAAATGACCTTCGATGGAGTTATTCATCAAAAAGCATATCTTAACGTACGAAGTCGGTGTTCATGTTTCCCGTACTCTAGTAGGCTTTTATTGATGTAAACACTGAAACACTGTCGAAAGATATCTATAAACTACAAAATGGTTCAAAATGGTGGCCTTTGGAATTTAAACATGTTTATAATCTGTTTCCTAAAGAAAACTGCACATTATTCATTCCTACATTCTGTCAATATGCTTTGACGCATATCGTCAGCAGTTGTTGGTATATTGGCGTACACTTTATTTTTTAACGTTCCTTATACAAATAAATTGACTGGATTACCGCCCGTTGAACATGTTGGCCACTGAACAATTCCACCACGTCCGATCCACCGGCCAGGAAATTTCGGTCCAATACTACTTTTGATCTTGAACCATATACGATGAATTGAAAGGGGTATGTCTTCTAGTAAGTTTTTCAGAATTTCTTTCAAAAATCATTTATAATTTTGTCCCGTCAAGGTTCCGTTTATAAAGTATGGCCTGATTACTGTACTGTTTATAACGCCGCAACAAACATTATCACTCCACTGCCTTTCTTAATTTACTTATCAACGGCCCAATAATGAGTATTTCGTAAATTTACTGAACCATGATGGGTAAATGTTGTCTCATCCATAAATAAAACATTCTTAAAAAAGTGTTTGCATCAATGGGAGCCTACTAAAGTACGGGAAGCATGAACATCGTCTCCGAACGTTAAGATATACTTTTTGAAAAATAATTCCTCCGAAGGTCATTTAAAGGTTAACATATTATATACTCGGTTATACCGGTTTCGTGGAGCGGGACCCCGACTGATTTTACAACTAGGACCGTTGCGGGTAACCGAAGGCCCATTATATATACATAACAAAATTTAAATGGGAATAAAGTGAATGCTCGAAATCGCAGATTTGATTCATGTAATTTTTTATGAGATATTATACAGATCATAAATATGTGATTCGAAGTATCTACCTGTAAAGAAGAAACAGCACGTTCCAAATTAAGAAACATACAAATTTTAATAACAAATGAAATACAATTCATATACCTTATTATACAGGATGTAACGAAAATATTGGATGACACGGAAATGGGAGACTCGTGAGGTGATTTGAAACAAGTTTTTCCTTTGCAAAAATGTTGTTTGACGCTTTGTTAACAAGATATTCACGAAAAACCCCGACCAATCAGAGCGCGAGCTTGCCAGCCGAGTTCCCGCGCTAGTGGTGGCTACGCCCTGCGGTTTGTAGCCAACGCTACAATATATATTAGAGGATATCATTATTTTTTAGCATTTTTTAATTTTTCACAACTAAGATACTCTACCAAAAAATCGCAAAAAATTATATAAAATTAAATAATATCTACTAAATATTATTCTAATTATATTATTAAATAATATCTATCAGATTTTTTGCGGGATTTTTACGTCATTAGGTAGAAAAAATAGAGGAAAATTCAACAATCAGAATTTTCCCTATTACAGGAACCTCTCGATTATCGAGTGGCTGTTTATCCACTATTATTGTCCAAGCGTCATACCCACTGGGGGGCATGGAACTCATCAAACGAATACTTTGTTGCCCTAGAGTGCCGAAGTGGCTTCCCATTAACGAGCCGATGACTAAGGCCGTGGCCACACGAGCGTTTTTGTCGGACGATACAAGACACGACTGTAGAAATACATAGGGTTACATTGTAGAGCGCACACGAGAAACGTCGTGCCGGCCGTCGACTGACGAATGTCACAGCCGACGTGTGCTATGACATTCGTCACGACAGATTTGATATTTTGATCAAGTTATAAATTAAATAAATAAATTTGAATGAAAAATAGTATATAAAATTAAATTAATAAAATAATAAAAATAATAAATTATTAATATATAAAATATAAATTATTTTCCTTCTCTTTTTATATATATAAATAAATTAATTTCTTTCTGATTTGAAAAGAAGTCTGTCGCAACTTTTTATAAGCATTTCTTTACTAAAAAAATATGCAGTACCGTGTAATATGGTTCGATTTTACACTGGACTTTTCTTTTTTAAGATAAATTTAAAAATACCTATCCCAAGACATTGGTGCAAAATTAACGGATGTCTTCATGATTATTTAAAGTACTTAAACATTCATAATGTATTAAAAATTGATTTTTTATGACACTGTTTTGACAAATATCTCGAAAGCAGTGTTGTGCAATATTTAATCCAATTAACGATTAACAACTGCAATTGACATATTTGATTATCTATCGCCATTAACAATTAAATTTTTTATTTGATCGATGTATAATCGCAGTGAATAATTGAATTCGATAATGAATTGTAAATTAAATTAATGATGAACTGTTAAATTGGAATTTTTGGTTTCACGCACTCATTGTAACGACACTGTAGAACAAATTGTTATTTCTTTAAGCGCTCCGATTCCTACTTTACGTATCTGAAAGAGTTCCACGCGCTAGTTATGTACTTTGCAAACTGTTTTTTTCGTCACTCTCAGTTTTGGAGAAATTTAATGTTAAAGAAAAATCATATTTTTCGCACATAAATAAATTTTGCAATGTAACTATAGAAATATTCAATTGTTGTTGCATGAAAATATGAAATAGAGATCGCCTCCAGTGGTGGGGATGACGCGTGGGCAGTCAACCTGAAAACTGAAAGCCTTTGTGCGCTGTTAAGGCGAGGTTACTACAATGGATGTGACAGCTATCTTCAGTACGACTGGAATATGTCGAGTAGGAGAAGTATTTTGAAGGAGTGAAACATTGATAATACATTATTTGCAACATAGTGCCAATGTTTATTGAACATCCCTCTTAAATACTAATTACCCTGCATCTAACTGAAAAATTTAAGCACATTCTAAATAAAATTAATCCGAATGCTAATGGAATTTTAACATCATTTTCCAAGAGAACAGATGAATTGTGATCCATGGTTCCGTTAAGGCTTTTTATCCTCATAACCAATAGAGTACGAAGGATACGATAAAAAAACCTGCCCTTGAATGTCAAGGTCAAGGTCAATTTTGCGATGACTGTTTTACAGATTTCCACCGATCTGAAGGTGTAGACTAACGCTATGGTGGCCATGACATATAATTTTCAAACGACCTGTAGATACAAATTATATCGGTTTCAAACAGACTAATTATTGTATTTTGTACACCCTTTCTAATTTAACTTCATCATAGTTAAATTTAATAAAAACGCTGACATCAAGTTCACAATGTGATCATGTGGAATGGAATTCCATGTACCCCAATTTGCTCATAACAACGTCCAGTACATTTTAAATATATTATTAGTACAATTATGATATAATATATTTAAAGCATTATATGTTACATTACAGCTTTACGAATCAGCAATGGGTTTCCAAGGATCAACGTTTCAGCCATCTTCCAATGTAATGCCACAACTTACACTCGATTGCGATGGCCAACCCCAGTTCGTTTCAGGACTAGTATAAATTAAGTTTCCCGTCAAGCTCGTTTTTTAATCAATGTGTCACTTTATTCACATACGGTTTACCTCTTCATTCTCAGCTCTGACTGTTAACACGCGCTTTCGAAAGAAAAGACACTCGCACGCACACACCTTTTCGACAATAATCGGATAACATCGTTAGGTTTGTCTGCGAGTAGACGCGTGTTTAAGATGGACGAGAATTTTCCGAATTAACTATAAAAGCCTCTTACCATTTGCTATTCAGTTCGTACTCTTAGCAGTGAAGAATATTAAACGAAGCGTAACGACGAATAACAGTCAATATTATTGGAATAAATATTTCCCTGTAGCCGGTGTGTGCATGTATATATGTGTGCGTTGCCAACCTGTGGTCCCATTTAATTAATCGTTAGGTTCATCATTAGAAAAATCAAAAACGCTAGATAATAGATACTGTGAAATAGCTTAACGACCGAAGATTGGCACGACAGATATATGTATATACGTGAATGTGTAGACTCCGTCCAGCGCAGTTTTTTCATTACTTCCTCACTAGTTTAATATTTATACACTTTGTGTACATTTTATAAGTGGAATAATGAAGGAACGTACTTACAGTGTCATTATTTTCCACTTGAACAAGTGGATGTCACATTACGGCATCAGCACAATAAAGTGTTGTAGGTAACAAACAAACTCATACTTTTAAAGCAGGGTTTGAAATTGTTTAAAAAATAACACGTCCCTATTCAAATGTTTCAAAAAGAGTTTCAAAAGGAACTTGTGTTACATTTGCAAAAAGTTTTATACAAAGGTAAGAAAGATCGTTTTGTTCCTTTAAAAATGTCATTCTTGGTTAAAGCGAAATATTTAATTCCCCGAAAATAACTTCGTTTTGATTTCATTCAAATTTTGCTTTCATATATTTTATGATTTAAAAAGTGCTAATAACTATCATGTTATAAAAACTGCACTATTAAACAATTGATATTATAAAGTTGTTAATACTTTATAACTATTGGCATGAATGGAGCACTAAAATTGAAAGTTTAATATCAGTTAAACCGCAGTAAATTTTTTTAAATATTACCGGAAAAATTTAAATCTAACCTTCAGTTTAACTGTTGCAACCTAAAATTGAATTTAAGGTAAAGTTATTGAGAATGTAAATTTTGTTAAAATAGCTACAAAATTTTTAATGGCTTTCTATATATTTATTACATTTGAGTAATTTAAGTTTATGTAAGAGTAATTACTATTATATTATCATGGTATACAATAACCACAAGGCAATAAACAAAATATTTAAAAAAACAAAGATACATAGAGAAATAGAGAAATGTAAAAACAAACCGAAAAAAATAAGCAATGTAATTTCGTGTAGCATAAAAAATAAAAAGATCTTTGCAATTTGTAAGTAATTTTGTAATTCGAAGAAATGTAATGGGTATATGAGTACAATATAGAATATGTTTGCTATTATGAGATCTAGTTATATCTCTGTTATCATTGATTCTATTATAAAATTTTATTACAATACAAAAGACTTTACAATTAAAATGTACTGTTGCAGTGGTGATCAAATATGTTTACTTACATTCAAATTCAGATTGCAACAATCAATTTCGAATTCAAACCTAAGGTCAAACATAAGTTTGTAATTCAGATTCGAAACAATGTTTAAATGATCATTTTTAAACACAAACTTATTATTAGTATGATAAAGCTGAACGTCATCTACACCGATCGATAGAAACGTATTTTTGGAAAAATTTCATTCTGCTTAGAAACAAATATTCAAGAATCAACGAAAACTCATCTTTTGACATATTTCAATCTCTGCCTTAACAATACTCGTAATAAGAAAAATTCTAATCGAAATATAAACATTTATCATACGTTCGCGTAGAACTGTTGTTTACAATATTCGTTACATATTTATTTAAGTTAGGGTTAAAGGACTGATTTGTATACAATAAAACTGTGATTTGATTACGCCCGGGTATGTATGTGATTGTTGACTTGCATTTGGGATTTCGTGCAACTCATTGGCGATGGGCGGATATAGTCATATCATAGCTAGTTCAAATAGAATCGTTTGCATTCAATTTCTATGTTATGTAAAAACATAATCATTCCACATTGTTTGCAAGGACTTTTCATCACCTAAATCGTCCTCAACAAAACATGTGTATTTGGATCTGAAAAATTGTTTGCAAACGGTTTTTATCATAATATATCATGTACCCGAAGAAAAACAATAACTTAACTATGGTCACGTTATGTCTACAAGCATTTAATGTAAAACCAATATCAGTATCACAATATTATTAGATGGTTATGAATATTCCAGTTCGTAAATGTATCTGTTTATTGATTATAAATTTATTGTAACATACTTTATGTAAATCATTGGTAACAAGAAAAAGTATTCATACATCAACATTCATCACATCTAACATCATGTGGAAATAAATATTCAATTCTGTGTATTTACTTAGTACCTTCAGTATAGGTACAGTTACCTTTATCCAAAGATTTCGGTTTTATCTTAACAACTTCTGATGTTGGTACATAATTATAAATCTGGATTACTGACTTATCCTGTTCAATCCATAATTTGTAACCTTTTTTTGTTGCATACTTTTTCACACCTAAACAAATTAAACATGTCGACTTTACTCCTTTCACGGGCTTTGACACTAATCGCACCTTTGCTGTTTCACCAGGTATAAGTGGAGACTGGCAACACTTACAAATTGTTCTCTTGATATCGGATTCTCTGAAAAAAAAACAACTGACAATTACTTACAGTATTAAGTATGCATTAATAAATAATTATTTTATGAATTATTATTTCATAAAATACAACAAATACGGAAGTATATTAAAAGAAATTTAAGCTTTATTATTGTTGAGATGACATTACTAAAAGTAGCTACTGGAGAAAATAAAACATTTTATTAGTATAGTAGAATTCTGATAGCCCAGCATCCAATAGTTCGGCACACCCGATAGTCCCGACACGCACAGTCCCAACCATGACTATGTCCTACAAATAGTGATGTGACTGATACCGTATCGATGTTATCGATACCCTTTTCCAATTTTTAATGCGGTGCTGATACATATCAAAAATGTAAATATCAAACAGAATCGATACTTGTTTAATATCTACCCGAAAGTATCGATATCGTTTGATTTCTACCCGAAAAATCAATACTTTTGATTAGCGTGTTTATTCGAGCCGGCAAGTGTCGAGCGCAGAACATAGAGCGCCAAGCATCGAACGCCGAGCGTCGAGCACCGTGCATTGAAAGACATGGGGCCGGCAAGAATGTATGCTATCGGCGACTCGTAGGTGTAGTTGGGTTGCGGCGCAAGTGTAAGTGATGTCGGTAATTCAGCTTGTCTTCCAAATAATAGTTCGTAGGGAGTGTGACCCATAGTGGTGTGGGGAGTTGTGTTGTAAGTGAACATGCCATAGGGAAGCCATTCGTCTCAATTTAATTGATTTTCTTCGATGAAATTTTTCAAATATTCGACCAGTGTTCTGTAGCTTCTTTCGGGCGCGCCATTTGATTGTGGATGATAGGTTGTCGTTTGAATTTTATCTATTCTAAGTAACTTGTATGTGTTCTTAAATATCTGACTAAAGAAATTAGTTCCTTGGTCAGTGAGTAGTTTTTGGGGTATTCTGTACTCGCATACTATTTTAGAAACGAGTTCCTTTGCTACTGTACCCAATTCCTGGTTTTGTAATGGTATTGCTTTACTAAATTTTGTGAGTGTGTCTTGAAATGTTAGTACATATTTGTTTCGATTGTTAGGTTCGGGTAACGGTCCTACAATATCTAATGCACATTTTTCAAACGGATCTGATGGGTCTGTTATAACCATAGGACCTTTAGTTGTTCTGTATAATTTATTATACTGACGCTTTTCGCACTTTAAAAAATAGTTTTGCACGTCTTGTCTTATAACTGGCCATGTATATTTTAATAGGATACGTTTTAAAGTTCGTTTTATACCTAAATCGTATTCTGTGTCCGACGGATCGTCAGAGTGGGATTCAGCTGAAGGTTCGATGTCCCCCGCCTTATCGTCTTCCCACGCGTTACTGGGTGTAGGTTGGTCGTCAGTCGACGGAATTTTCCGCGGCCTTCCTTGTCCGCGTTTGAAAACATGCATTCTGCTAAGAGCATCCGCGTTTTTATTTGTTTTACCTTCCTTATAACGAATCTCAGTCGTATTCTTCTAATTTTAGTCTCCACCTGATTAATCTAGAGCCCGGATCCCTTACACTAAATACCCATGTGAGAGATTTATGGTCGGTTATTATGGTAAATTTTAGAGCTCTTACTATCCGGATATCCGGGTACTCGGATTACTCCTTATAACTCGAAATCCGAATACAAATCCGGATCTGAGTATCCGGATATCCGTACTCGGATCCGGGTATCCAAGTACCCGGTTTCGGATTTTTTTTCATAAAGACTCGAATATACAGGGTAGAGCACGTAACTTGAACCACTTCGATTACTGCGTAAGTAATAATTTTAGTAAAAAATGTTTCAGATAAAACTTGAATGGTTTTAAGCGGGACATAATATTACGTCATTAGTTTTTTTGTAAGTGGATGCGTAGATGACATATGAAGGTCAGGTTTGTTTTTTTGAATAGAACTGTATATTTTTTATTACGTCGGTCAATCCAGCTCGTAATTCTGCACAAAAAATATTAACCTGTTCATATGAAAAATCGATTATTTTAAGACATATTTTAACTTTAATAATTATTCGAAGTGGCATAAGTGGAACCACTGCGATAATTCCCAAAATATTAACTTAGGCGAAAATTGTTACTGCCGAAACATGCATGGCTCGATCGCCACGACATACTGAATTATTCATCGACATAATATTCAATAAAGAATTCGAAAGTGTATTGACGTCCAAGAATAACATTTTGAACATCTTTCCTAAACTTTTATAACTTTAACTCATGTAAAATCATCATCTAGAATCTAAACTAAAAGATATTTACAAAACGATAGTCTTTTGTTAATGTTATTGTAAAGATTCCCAAACAGTCAAACATCTGTAAAACCAGTTGTCGGTACATCAGTTGGTAGAATTTCTTTAAAAATTATCTAATGATCAATCGTAATACATATCACTGAATTTGTTATACTATTATCCATAACATTCGTTATTAAAATAAAATTTTGACTTCTATTTAAAAAATTGAAGGCGTCCTTGAAATTTCGAAAAATGCTAATGACGGAAAGAAATAGAATAATAACATAATAATCACTATGTGGTCCCGTTTGAACCATACAGATTTCATCTGTATCAATTATCGTCCAAATTATTGCATTGGGAGTTATTGCAGTGATTTCACTTACATACAAGGTGTCCTCGCTAACAGCATATAATTCTATTATATCCTAAACTATTTCAAATACGAGAAACCTGTTTACCTACATTAAATTAAATAGCACGAGGGGGATATTACCGGGCTATGGCGAATTTTTTTAACATTATTATTTTCAGAGATATGATGGTCAAGTTTGGTTGTATATACAGGGTGTTCGACAACTAGTGGGAAAAAAATTAAGGGGTGATTCTTTGAGGCAAAATAAGACGAAAATCAAGAATAACGAAATTGCGAAAAATGCTTCGTTTGTTAGTTATAAG